GTGTTTGCATAATGCTGGGCTCACTGAATGAGTTAGAACGTGTTCCCTCTGCTTCTTTTTTTTTCAGAAGAGACTGCAAATTCTTTGGGATATTTTAGTAGACAATATGTATGTCTTTTATTTCTTGTTTTTCTTTTACGGCAGTGGCTAGTATTTCCATACTATATTGAAGAAGAGTGGTGAGAGTGGACATTGTTGCATTGTTTCTGATCTTAGGAAGAAAACATTCAGTCTTTCACCATTACATATTTGTTAGTTGTAGGATTTTGTAGATACTCTTTAACAAATTGAGGTGATTCTCCTTATTTCTAACTTGTTGAGATTTCTATCAAGAATGGGTGTTAAATACTATTTCTGAGCTTCATATAATTTTTATTCTTTAGCCTGTGGATTACACTGATTGCTTTTCAAATGTTGAACTAGCTTTGCAATCTAGAATTAATCTCACTTGGTCATGATACAGTATTCATTTTATACATTTTTTGATTCAATTGCCAATATTTTGTTGAGGATTTTTGAACTATGTTCATGAGAGATATCAGTCTGTAGTTTTTGTTTGTTTGTTTTTTGTACAATTTTTGCCTGGTTTTGGTATCAGAGCAATACTAGACTCATAGAATAACCTGGGAATTGTTCTCTCTTCTATTTCCTGAAAGGCATTATGTAAAATTGGTGTTAATTCTTCTTTAAATATTTGGTAGATTTTCCAATGAAACCATTTAGGCCTAAAGATTTCATTTTGTAAAACTTATAAAATTATGAGCTCAATTTCTATAATAGTTATTGAACAACAATGTATTTCATCTTGGTTAAGTTTGGATAATCATTTTTGATTGTTAATTTAGATGTATTTCTCATATTTACTAAACAAATGACCAGCAACATTTGCAAAAAAGCAAATGACTTTAGTTTAGTGCCCTGACATAATATATACAAAATCCACAGACAGTTTATAGGCAAAAGTTCTGCAAGAGCAGACAAGTGGTACACCTTAGAATGTAAAAAAAAAAAAAAAAAAAAAAAAAGAAAAGGCAGAGTATATGTAAAAAGAGCGTCTCACAGATGATACTTGGGGATGCTGTGTCACTCAATGGTAAGGAAGCTGTTACTGATGGCTATTATTGTGCAGCACCGACATGACCCTGAGTTTGATTTTATATAGTTAAGCCTAGTGTAAGAATGCAAAAGAGATAAAATGGGTATATTGCCATTGTCCCTCAAATGGATGACTAAAAGTGGGGACCAAGGTCAACAGACATTTTGCCTACTATGTTTAGAAGGCATTCAAAGTGTTTGAGACATTTCAGCTCATAACAATGAAATCAGTCAACCAGACAGCTAGAATTTCAGAGTTATAGTATGCCCCAGTTCAAGAGTGTGTAATTAATAGCACATATGCTTAATGTAATCCAAGTACAGCAAAAAAATTCATTAAAAATAATTATTTTATCATCTTAGTAAAAGGCAAACTTTTCTAAGGCCCTCAGAAAACTAGCAGATTCAATACCAGTCAAATCTCATTATCTCCACAGCAAAGGGCTATCCAATTCTTGAATTGTTCTGAAATTTTATAGTAGTGAATATATTCAAAGTAATAGACTATTGACTTGGATATGGGACTCTTCTTTCTTAATGACATTTTTATTTTAATGGTATTTGTCATCATGTAATTACAGTCCAAAATGTGAGAAGAAGAAGAACTGTTTTAGACCACTTTTGTGTATGTGTGTGGAAGTTTCTTGAAAACAACTGTTTTATAACTGAAGTCACTTCTAACGTGAGTCAGTGAACTCTCCAACAAGAGGACAAAGCTACTAAAGGAGGGGAAGTCGTTGAAGATGAAAGCTAGCAACATCTCTGGAGACGATCTGACCAGCATTGAGAATGATGGCTGAATGCCAGTCATGCTGAGAAACGTGGAGGACACAGGGTGGACTAAGGCATTGTGCTTGCTCTCAAGAGGCTTGCTCTTTTCTAAAAGAAGCCCATTTGAAAATATTGAAATCACTTTTTCTTCTTTTGTGAAGGATAGAAAACTCAACAACTAAGTTGTCTCCTGTGAAGGTCACCAGTCTTTTTAACTCTTGACATTGGAGGCTGAAAGATGGTTAAATATTACTTAATCCAATGCTCACATTCTATAAATAGAGAAATCCAGAAAAATGAAATAATTTACCTAAGACTGTAGGACTGGGACTGGAACCCAAATTTCCTGACTTTTCATCAAGTACATTTTTTTCTATATATTACGTTACCTCTCTTAAGAGTTCAATGGACTTTTCTCATTCCTAGCTCTTCCCATTGTTAGGCTGCACCAAACCATGTCGATTAGATTCAGATGAAAAGAGCTCATGCTCTGTTCTTCTCCCTCTACACTCTCATTTCAAAATGTCTACTTCACAGTTTCAATTCAACAAATAATTTTTAAAAGTTATTAAGGACTTATTCTGGCTTAGGCAGTAGAGAGACTACTAAACCAAGTAAGGCATACTTCCTACCTCTGAGGAATTTATTGTAAATATAAACACCTAGTATGACATCTTTAGACAGCAAACTTATCTATGTAAAATTTATTATCATCACTCAATCAAACTTTCTAATGGAAATCTCCTTTTAAGTCAATGACTCCTTAATTCTCTAGGCCCCACTATAAAAATTTTGAAGCTTGGCGGGGCACAGTGGCTCATGCCTGTTAATTCCAGCACTTTGGGAGGCTGAGGCAGGCGGATCACGATGTCAGGAAATCGAGACCATCCTGGCTAACAAGGTGAAACCCCGTCTCTACTAAAAATACAAAAAATTAGCCAGGCCTGGTGGCGGGCGCCTGTAGTCCCAGCTACTTCGGAGGCTGAGGCAGGAGAATGGCGGGAACCCGGGAGGCGGAGCTTGCAGTGAGCTGAGATAGCGCCACCGCACTCCAGCCTGGGCGACAGAGTGAGACTCCATCTCAACAACAACAACAACCAAAAAAAAAAACCAAAAATTTTCTTTTGAAGCTCTTTTTGCTACTCTGCCATGAAAGCGAGAATATCTGGTTTTTAATCTTTGTTCTAACATTAACCAATTAGTTTTGAAACACTGGCCAAGTCACACCTCTCTGGGCTTCATCTCCTCAGTTAGGAAAACGAAGAGTACACCAACCTTCTATGATTCACATTTCTTTTCAAATTACATCACATCCAAGGTGCTGGATATAATCAAGTTATTTTATTTCACTTCTTTGCATATCTTCAATTCCTCTCTCCTCCTCCATGTTCATCATATTGAAGTTCTTAATTCCTGGATTATTGTTAACAGCCTTCAAACTCTTAGGTGTACATGTTACTTGCTAAAAGCAATTTGAAGCAAGATTTAGCCTGGAGGTATGCTGGTTAGACTAGAGGCTAGAAAACTAAGACACTTTTTGGAATAAAGCTCAATCTCACACTAAAAGCCTGTCATTCAAGTCTCTCCAAAAATAGGCTTCAGTTGGCCCTTCTGCTTTTATTTCCAACAACTCTTTGTCCTAGTCCATTCAGGCTATAACAAAATACCATAAATTGGGTGGCTTTATAAACAACACAAATTTATTCCTCACTGTTCTGAAGGCTGGCAAGTACGAGATCAAGGTGCCAGTATGGTCAGGTTCTGGTGAGGACCCTCTTTCAGGTTACAGACTTCTGACTTCTTGCTGGTGTCCTCAGTATGGTAGAAGGAATGAAACAAGTCTCATGTGCATATTTTACAAGGAAACTAATTCTATTCATGAGGGCTCTACCTTCTTGACCTAATCACCTTCTCAAAGGCCACGCTTCCTAATACCATCTTCATGGTGATTAGGTTTCAACATACGAGTTTTGGGGTGGCAAGAGTAACAAACATTCAGACCATAGCACTCCTCAATATGCTTACTTTCCAAGCACACCTTCATGTCTTTAATGTTGTTCCTATCCTTCCTAGGTGAAGAGTTTTACTTTTTTTGTAAACTTACTGCTAATAGTTCTATTAAGCCCATTTTCTTGTATGGATTCAGGAATCTTTCCTTTCTCTTAATTCTCATCAAATATTTAGAGTATAACTAACAGTACCATTTCTTAAGTCCCTCTCATAAATATTTGAAGCATAAAAGAGATGATATGCAAAAATTCTCAACCAACATTAAAGGAAGAATACATATAAAGGTGGTATAAACAGTATAACTTATTTTCTTTATTATGTCTTCTTAATTTCTTTGCAAATTATAATAATCAACTGATTGTTAATCTTTTTGGTAGAGAATGAATATGTATTTCTAAACTAGAGTTTTTAATAAGAATATAAAAATACATTTTCTTGGCTATAGGCTACTTCTGATATACGAAGATGTCTGAACAAAAGTATATGAACAGTTACCAATTAATATATGTCTAATATAGGCAGATATTCAAACAAGCATTGAGCAATGTTATATAAATGCTGGCAGGGTAACTTGCTCCGTTATTAGATAAACTTTGAAGATGTTATTTAAATTTCAGTCATGAAACAATCAGTGCCAATCTGATCAAATGATTGCCAAAGTTAGCATTAACCATAGTAGAGAAGCATTTGAGGAAAACGTAAAAATGTTATTTTCTGTCTCAGATTCTCTTACTGCTGCTTGAACTCTAATTTGAATACCTTCTTCTCAGAAAAAGGCCACAATTAGAGGAGCAACAGGGTTTCATGTGGCAGGAAGAAAGTAGTACTGTCATATCCCATCAATCCTCTAAGCACCCAGTCTTAGAGAAAATTCATTGCACTCTCTTCTGCCAACTCCAAAAGAGATTTTCCCAAGAAATGAGTTTCAGGCAATTTTAGTTCCCATCACTACTGTCCATTTGTCATAACTGAAAAAAAATATCCATTATATTACAAAAAAAATTCGGTTATCCAGTATTTGCTAATTATGATTGAGACCAGAAACATACAAAATTTCAAAGAAAACAATTGAAGAGAACATCTGAAAGTAATTTCTCTCCATTCTTTGTTGTTCTGCTACTCACGGCAAATCTTCCAAACTGGAGGCTTCATGTCTTGGATCCAAAAGATCATAACCACATTCGTTGTAGATTTCCAAATAGGAAATGTGCGTTGTATACATTTTGCTGCTGTCCTGATTGGAAAAGGGAAAGGTATTATTTATTGATTATAAATAATGATTCTGCTTAGATGAAGATGAACACATTTAGCACTCAGTTTCCTTACAGTTTCTCTCTTTTTCTCTCACTTTATATGGTTTACATTTTCAGTTCATGACACTTTCAAGTTGCCAGTTACCATATGCATGAAGCTTTTTTAAATGGCCAACACCCATGATTACAAGCAACTTCAGTCTGTTATTTTTTATTGGTTCCACATTATACATAAAAAGTCAATATACACTTACAATGAGCCAACTTGGTTGCAGAACTGTGTAACACACCATTTTTTACTTTCCAGAACAAAAAAAAGGTTACTAAAAAAAATAAACTTATATTCTGTGAATAGTCTATTCATAAAAAAGAACACAGACCATTACTTTGGTTTAAAAATTTCAGGAGCAAAATAGTTTCCATCTTTAATCATAATTCTTTTTCTACTTTCCTAATGTTCAATATTTTCTGATGACATAAATAGATAACAATGAAAGTGAGTTCCGGAGGACAGACAATAGTTGATTAGTCAGGTATAAGTGGACATTAATAGTTCACCGCCAATACCTCACATGTGGAGTTAATTTTCCTGGCCCGAGAGGGCAAATCAGGGGTATTTAGCTATTAGTTAGAGAGAAATGTTTTTGGTGGGTCATTGCTAAAATGCAATGACATAGGCATCAATGTAATGAGGCTAAAAGTCAAGGTGCCTGGTCCTAGTCTCAATTCTGCCAATAGACAAAATGACCCAATCCCTTTGAGGTGGAATGAAGTAAGGAATTTTTTCAACTCTTGAGAAAGTTCAGTTTTAAATACAAAATATCAAACAATAGCACTTTCTTTTTGTTCCTCCAAAAATACAAATGCTTCAATTTCTGCAAATATTATCATGCTTCTCATAAGGGGAGAGTATATCTGTATCTTGTGGCAAGCAGGTTGTCAGGGTGTCAGAGTGTATACTAACGGAGAATTTGCTTAGGATGACCTTCCTGATTGATTCTCACCCATATCCAAGGCAATCCATTTAAAAGGGTTTGTTCAAAGGGAGAAAGGACCAAGTCACAGAGATAGGAGAGAGAACAGTGGCCTATAAATAAAAAGCTGGACTCCTACTCTAACTAGAGGTGAGCCTCTACCATGTCAGGCCTTAGTTTTCAAACCCATTAAAGTGAGGAAATTGGCTAATAAATCCCCATGTGTTCTTCAGTGTAAAATGAATGATTCTTTGGTTCTAAAATGGTTCCAATTATCCAAATAAAGATACTGTCATCCCAGCACTTTGGGAGGCCGAGGTGGGCAGATCACAAGGTCAGGAGATTGAGACCATCCTGGCTAACACAGTGAAACCCCGTCTCTACTAAAAATACAAAAAATTAGCCAGGCATGGTGGCAGGTGCCTGTAGTCCCAGCTACTCAGGAGGCTGAGGTAGCAGAATGGTGTGAACCCTGGAGGCAGAGCTTGCAGTGAGCCAAGATTGCGCCACTGCACTCCAGCCTGGGTGACAGTGCAAGACTCCGTCTCAAAAAAAAAAAAAAAAAAAAGATACTGTCATTTCAGAAAAATAAAATGATACATGAACAAGTAAAGCAACTCTCAGCCTTCCATGACTATAATAAAAACACTCAAGCCACAGCTGAAATTCTATATTCTGGTGTTCTGTGAAGGTGACAACATGGACTGGATTACTAAGCAATTTTTTTTTCAGCCTAATGCTGAAAATTCTTCTGATGTGGGTGACTCTAAAGCTTATCCCAACAAATGGCCCATTGATTACATTAGTATCCTAGTTTAGTAAAGGTACTATTTCAATATAATTCTTTGGGTTATAACTTGGCTTAGCACAGGTATCAGAGACTATAAACACTAACAAGATTTTGTGTGGCTGTTAGTCTAATCCAAAGTTTCTAAAATATTCCATGGAATACTCCGGGAAAACAGTATTCCATGGTCAATATATACAAACTCTGTCCCTCTCCGCAGCACGTCGAAGGCCCTAGGGGGTATTTCAGCAACATTCTGAGATCCTGTTTAAACCAACATATTTTTAAAATGTATCCAAAATATCTGAAATAAACCAGAGATCATGATTTGAGAGTTTAGTATACATTTCTGAGTTCTTCTTAGCATTGAATAAGAACTGAGTTTGCATATTGGAACTCCATTTATAACAGAATAATCCCACACCCTTATCCTCAGTTGTTTCACCATAAAAATGGGGATAATAGCCCTGATCTTGCATTCTGTTGTAACAGAGGAATAACATTCTATATTTAAAATCTTACAAAAGTGTATGGCCCATAACAGATACCAATGAATCATTGTTGCTCCTGTTGCTATTACTATTGCTGTAGTTATTATTATTTCTAGAAGCCTTCAAATGGAGAATTCAGTAGATGAATATAAAAGGAAAGGAAAATAAAAGCAAAAAGAACAGCCAACTTGTATGTTTATCTGCAGTGGAGAAAATCTCTTCTTCCAGAAATTAGAATAAATCATAAAATGTCAGGAAAATGGCAGGTCCACTGCCCTGAGATGATAGGGATAATGTCTTTGGCTCTTCCAGCTTCTGCATTTTCTGGACTTTTATTGGAAAATACACTTAAAATTCACTGAGCTATGTGGCAAGCTACCTTTCCTTATTACTCCTTTTTAGTGTTGAGGATTGCCAGACTGTAATGTAACACACATGTTTCCTGCAGACAGCCTTTTCTCCTGCCCCAAAACAAGTTTGAACCTCACAATACTCAAAAATAATGAGCAGTGATTTCTAAAATAAATGGCATCAATTTTCTTCTCTTAAAATCAGTGAAAATGTGCTCCTATCATACCCATACACATTTCAGGACCCAATATGCACTGGGCTCTTACTGTATCTTGAAATGAAGACTTTGCATAGGTCAAATGTTTCCTTTAAGAATTCTAGAGAGCCCCATGTACCTCTCTAAGGCAATCAGCTGAGGACCTCTGAGTACCAGGCTGTATTTTCCAGCTATATAATATGAACAGACTTCATGATGCACTTCAAGTTGCTTGACCAGTTTCACCACAGCTGTTTGATTATAATGAATGTGTTATGCCCCATCATGAAAATATGTCCATTTAAACAGAGTTGCCCTGGCTTTAAATGGCTCCAATGGGCTCACTACAAGTCCAGGAAGATATATAGGATCATTCAGAATGAAATGGAGTTTACAGTAATGTCAATGACAAACAGATCTAAAACAATGAACCTGACAAATGGTAAGTACTAAGGAGACATTTAGACATTTGGATCTGTACTTTAATAACCATAGATAACAATTTTAAAGGGACAAAAAATATTTTCCTTTGGGAGAGGATGAGTTTATTCTATTTAACTTAATCATGGGATTTGGCTTCTTTTTTTTTTGAGAGTTTCAAGGGTTCTCTGAAATTGGTCAGGGATCACTTGGCCACATTAATATCCATATATGGATATTACTGGCTGTGATAATAACTATCATGCATTGAGCATATACTGTGTGCAAGAAACTGGACAATATCTTTAAACACAGTACGTTCAGCCCCTCAGAGCAACTCCATAAGACTGAGGCATTAACTAACTGTCCCAAGGCCACATGCTGTAAGCAGTACACTTTCTCAGAACCAGGTTGACCTGCACCTCCAGTGATCTTTCTAAGGCAGAAAGATTCCACATTAGGCCACAGCAATGAAAACTATTAGGAATTATATTCCCAGGTTGTGAAATGTGGGAACAAAACAGGCAATGTCAGAAATAAGTGAGTAAATGAAAAAAGGGCTTTGGATCCAACATATATGCTACACTCAATCCTTTCTCATCCAAATTTTCTGGCATGCAAAGCTGGCATGTTTGAGCTAGAGAAAGATGAGCTGAACTAATGGATAATTGCTACTTTATGGATGGCAATTAGAATTATGCAGATCTCAGCAATTTCTTCTCATCTTTGCAACTCAAAATACAAACAATATACAGTCAAGAAATTTTGGAGTGACTGTTACATTGACCTAGTTAAGACATTTATTATACAGAAGTAATACAAACAAGGAATTGCTGGAACCAGTAGGGACACTGGAGATTCTCTAATAAAGTTCAATCTCTACTTTCACAGAAGGGAAAACTGAAACTCAGAGAAGGTATGTGACTCATTAGAGGGAATTTGTTTGAACACAACAAACAAAATAAAGCCAGTCCAAGGTATAGGAGCAATACACATGATGGCACAAAGCACAGAGTCAGGCATCAGGTGGACTTGGGATAGAACTCCAGATCAGCTACTTATAGGATGTGAGCCCAGAGGAAAATATTTAACTTGAGGCTCAGTTTTCCCAACGATGAAATGGGAAGTTGCATTATATGTTATATTAAATACTGGTAAAAGTGATAAAGCTACTGGCATTTTGAGGCACTCAATAAATGATACATGTAATCTAGATAGATAACTCTTTTTTACAATGATAATAATTACAATGGTATTTGTACTCTGGTAAATTCCTCTGGGCTTCTATCAAGTGTAAAATAGTAACAATCATACTGTCCTGTTTAGTGTTTCAGTAGCTAAAAGAAAGGTCTGCTTTCCCAAGAAAACATTCCTGTTTCTTGAGAAATGTAAGATATTAGTTGGTAAAAGGTATGGTCTGCTCTTTCAACCTTCATGCGTATATCAGAAGGAACTCTCCTGGAGCCTTTGCTGAAACAGCAGCCCTTTAATGAGAAGCACCTTCTTAATTTTCACTTCTACAGCAAAATCCCAACCTTTCCTTAAAGGTAAAGGCCAGAGTTATGACACAATAAGACTTTATCATTTAGACACAATAAAATAAATGTCATAATAAATTTCCTGCTTTCAGTAAATTTTTGCTGAATATATCAAATACAAAATGACAGGAACAAAAAGTTTCATACCTTTTGTAACTGTTCAAAAATGTATGACAGTGTCCTTGGGATAATGCCTCTGTCACTGTAACGCTCTGCACCCCCTGTGATAGTGAATGTCTTCCCGCTGCCTGTTTGCCCATATGCGAAGATAGTACCATTGTAACCTTCCAGGACACTGCAATAAAGAAATGACACACTTTTAATACATCAACATGGCTAACTGCATATGAATTAAATGGCTTGTATTCTAATAACAATCTTATTAAACACTATTAAAAACACTTTATAGAAATATCTATTAAAATTTATATATGTGAATATCTAGCTAGAATTTACATTTTTATCTAGGAACAGCAGCACATCAAACCTGTTCTCTAAGAAAGGATGTGTAACGCAAATGGAGTTCAGTCATCTTAATTATATGCTTCGTCTTTTAGTAAACACTGGACCTGAATCAAAGAATATATTGAAAAAGAGTTCTGGGGAAATAACACCTGTAATTTGGTAAACTGTCAACCTGACACCTGGTACCTCACATGGTATAAACACTCAGAATAGTAGTCACTTCCTAGAGCAGGAGGAACACACTCTGTTTGCCACCATGTACCTTGTAATGTAATTCCCTACTTAATACTAAGCACCAGCTGAAAATCCTCTAGGAATTCCCCTCCTCTCTTTTCTTGGAATGACTTTTTGGTAGAAGATGCTAGTCCGTATATATTCTTCAGCCCTGCAGAGTGGCCCTTGATTTGATGGTGGTCTTAAGAACCCAAAGGCTGGATCTTCTCAGCCTTTGAAGAGCACCACCTATAATATAAGCTTTTAAAAATATGCACGAAATGATGTAGACTTTCAAAACTGTGTCTTTAATCTACGCTACATGGAACAGTAAACTTTTGTAGCTTTATGTTCGTTTTTTGATACAAGTGGTTCCTTGATCTCTGAGATGTTTCCATTAAACCAGCTATGATGACATCAGCTATTGGTCCCCATGTTGTGGGTGGATTTTTTGATAGATGGCTCCTCTGAGTTCACCCCTCACTGTTCATATTAGAATTCCTGCCCTATTACTTCTGTCAACGTCCTATCTATAGTTCTATGTTTCATATGCTTTCATGCCTGTGTGTTGAGTGATCTATCACTATAAGGGCCTCTTAAAACACACAGGTTTGACTGGAGATTATTCTGAAGTGGTCATTTAAATCCTGAGCACTTTATGCAACTATTAAACTAACAATATCTTCAGCAACAAGTCAATGCATCTTTGCTGTGTAGGTAGAAAGTGTTATTGGTGCTTACAAATGTAATGGACTTAGTAAAGGGAATGCGCAAGAAAGTATTATAACTGTGTGATTCAATGTTCTACTTTTGAGAAGTGTAATCATTCTTCTTCATGTGTTTTTACATAGAGACAATATACTGTTGAAATTCTCAACTTTTAAGATGTTGGAACTATGACGAATTTAGATATATAATTAAAGAATCTTTTTCCTCAACAGAATTTGTTACCAATGAAATATCGATGTCCCATTAGCAATATCATTTGGATATCTATTTCTTGGCCATAAATGCTCTAGGTATATGAAGTCTAAAATTTTAAATATCTAACCTTAAACATTTTATTGATTTTTGATAGAAAGAATAGATGTAAAATATACTAGGCATTATCTGTCTTGAAAAACAAAAAATACAGAGCACAAATTAACATTTTCATTTTGATATAGATTATGAAAAGTGAGTAGGTAGTACACTACGTTGGCATCTGCTAATTGTTATGTCTACTTTTTTATGCTAAAATCTTCTTTCTCACTGCCAGTTGTCCTAGTATGTCTGTCTCTAATATGTGCCCCCCCATTCCCATCTACTGTGGGATGGAAAACCAGATGGCATAGCTTCATAGAACACTGTCAAATAAAAAGGGTAAGGCTCGACCTATGTATACTCCCATGGCTACTTATTTATTACATTGCTACAATTAAACATTAAATAAGGAAATGTAATCAGGCAAAATTTGTCTCCAGTCCCTTCTGTAGAGCCTCCATTCCAACTCAATCTTGTAACCACTCTTCAGTGGACACTAGGCCTTTTCATGTGCTTCTGGTCTCATCTGTCCTAAGGAAAAATACTAGTTAAAAATAAAGAAAGAGAAATAGTGGTGTAATGATCTTTGAAAATCCATTACTCCACAAGAACAATAATACCAGTGGCAAAAGTTGTCAAAATCAACTTTTTCAGAACTCTGGAAATTTTTCAAAGACTCACACCAATCCATGAAGTGTTTATGTAAGACAAACAGCTAAACTCAGTAGGAACCATGCGCTTTGTGGTATTTTAACTTGAACATTCCCAGCACCTCTCCCTAGCTCCATGGTAGCCTTGAAAAACAACAGCCTTGAAACATTGGAGCTGTGAAATCCAGCAGCCTGGCAACCACTATAGGGGGCAGTATGGATTTGGGGCTCCTCAAAATGCCGCATCCTCAAAGAGCTGCCACTCTCTGACTCGTCTGGGAGCTCTCTAGAAAAGCTCCACTCACAGTACTTGTCTTTGTTAGACCTGATTCAGAGTTCACTTAGTGTAACCATCCCTGTCCTCGGTGTATTTGTTGAAAAAAAATCAGTGGCAAGTGTTTAATATCCCAGCTGGCAAAGCCGCAATGCCAGTGAAGTAAACAAGAACGTAATCAAAAACTTAGAAAAATCTGTGAAATAAGATGTGCATAAGGGGTTTCAAAAAACTCTGATGTATTCCTGGGAGTCAGGAAGGCCACACACATGTTCAGGACTATATGTATGCCCAGAAAAGACCCAAGAAGGGCATTAGAACTCATCTCTGGCTGGCCTTGAGACTGCACAAACAGAAAGTGAGAAGAAAGACAGTGTTACAAACTTCCTCAGCGTTGAAGGTGTGCCCCCAATAAATATGTAGGGACCCTTGTATGTAGGCTGGGAGACCAAGGAGTTCAAGGAATTTAAGGAAATTTATTTCATTATCTTGCCTAAATTTACTGGCTGGTTTGTCCAGATGACAAATTTGCTCAGTTTTTGTTCATCTTGGAATGTCTTAATTTCTTCTTCATTTTTGAGAATAATATTGCCAGATATAGAATTCTCTATTTACACATGACATAATATTCTATATAGAAAATCCTAAGGAATTTACTATAAAATTATGAGAAGAAACAAGTTCAGCAGGGTTGTACGATACAAGTGTGAACACTGTGCAGATAGCAATATTCCCTAAACTGATCTACATTTATGCAATTTCTATCAAAATTCAAGCTGGCTTATTTGCAGAAATTGACAATATGCTTCTAAAATTTATATGGAAAGTTAAGGGACACAGAATAGCTAAAACAATCTTGAAAAGAAAGAACAAAGGTAGATGATTCACATGTCCCTACTTCAAAACCTACTACAAAGCTAGAATAATTAAGACAGAGAGATATTGGCACAAGGCTATACATATGGATCAATAAAATAAAATTAAGAATCTAGAGATAGACCCTTATATTTATGATCAGTTGATTTTCAACAAGGGTGCCAACACTATTCAATGGAGGAAAGAATGGTCTTTTTAACAAATGATCCTTGGACAACTGGATATCCACATGCCAAAGAATAAAGCTGGACCCCTACCTCAGACCATGTACAAAAATTAACTCAAAATGAATCACAGACCTAATGTAAGAGATAAAACTTAAAAGAAAATCTTGGAAGAAAACTTAGGAGTACATCTTCATGAGCTAAATTAGGCAATGGTTTTTTAGATATGACATCAAAAGCACAAAGAGTCAAAGGAAAAAAATAAGCTGCACTTCATCAAAATTAAAAACTTTTGTGTTTCAATCAAGTAAGTGAAAAGACAACACAATGGAGATAATGTATGCAAATCATATCTATCTGGCAAGGGACTTGTCATCATATCCATAATCCATAACATACAAAGAAATCCTACAATTCAGACAACTCAATAATAAGAAGACAAACAATCTAATTAAAAAGTGGGCAACAGATTTCAATAGACGTTTCTCTAAAAAGAAATGCAAATGGCCAATAGCATATGAAAAGATGCTCAACATCATTAGTCATTAGGGAAATGCAAAGCAAAATCACAATAAGATGCAATTTCACACTCACTAGTATGGCTAAAACAAAAAAAAGAGACAATGAGAAGTGCTGGTGACAATGTGGACAAATTGGAACCTTCATACATTGTTGCTGGAAATGTAAAATGGTACAGCTTCTTTGGAAAACAGTCTTACAGTTCCTCAAAATGTAAACCTAGTATTGCCATATGACCCAGCTAGGTATACACCCAGCAGTATTAAAAACATGTGTCCACACAAAAATTTGTAGTGAATGTTCACAACAGCATTATTCATTATTTAGCCAAAAAGTGGAAACACCACAAAGTGACCGTCAACTGATGGGTGGATAAATAAGACGTACTATATCCATTCCATCGGATATTATTTGGCAAGGAGAAGGCAGTACTGATACATGCTACAATAAGGATAAAACTTGAAAACACATTAAATTTTTAAAAGCCAGTCCAAAAAAGGTCATATATTGTGATTCTATTTCTAGAAAATGTTTAGGATAAGAAAATCCCATGGACATAGAAAGTAGGTTAGTGTTTGACAGGGGCTAGAAAGAAGGGAAAATGGAGAGTGACTGCTAATGGGTATGGTACAGAGCTTCTTTTTGGGGGTAATTAAAATGTTTTAAAATTAAATAATGGTGATTGATGGTTGCACATTTGTACTAAAAATAACTAAATTGCATACTTTAAAGAGTAAATGTTTTAGTATTTGAATTACATCTCAACAAAGCTGTTGTAACAATAAAATAGTAAAGAAGAGTCTATACTCACTTGTTAATAACCATATGTGTATACTATCTTTTCAGTAGTATTTTTAAAAGACAGAGAGAATGGCAATTAACAAAAGGAATGAAAAGCTAATGATACATTTCAGCAATGAAGAGTGAGATGCACATTTTTGTTCAGAAGTATTTCTGAACTTCCTAAAATCAACAATGCAGGCTACTGCTTAATCCGTCTTAGCTAGAGACAGTCCTGATGTGTAAATAAATCAACTCTTTATAAACCCAGACTTTGATGATCAGAGGAAATTTCCATTGTAGAAATTCTCTTCTTCTGTTTGCAAAATGC